TCTGTGTGGCCTGCAGTGGACCGGGACCTGGGACAGCAGCCCTGTGGCCAGGTGTGAGGAACTAAGCTCCACCCTGCCAAGCAACAGTGACCCCAGGTGACCACACACCCTTGAGGGCCAGCATCGGAGGCAGCTGAGGGAAGGGTCAGTGCCCAGCTCCTGTCCTTCACAGCCGCAGTCCAGGAACCCGCCCCCATCTACCCTTTTATAGTCAGACTACAACCTTCCTTCTAAAAATACGTCCGCCTGAGGTGACGCCAGGAAAAGCAAAGCTCAAAAGTTTTATGCTTTCATTACCTAGGATAGGACATTAGCTGGACAGATTTATCATCACGTTTTTGTAAATTCCTCTACAAATAATTCTAAGATAGGCCCAAATTACTCTAGCCTTTTGACTCGACATGTTTGCGCAATTACTTGGCACTCCAAGTGTATGCTACTTAAATCGGGTAACAGTCACCAAGTTATTTTTAGGCCATAGCAAAACACACACACACACACACACACACACACACACACACACACACACACACCACATATACACTGCTAGACCGAGCTTGTTATTTGTGCTCTTTTGGAAGAAAAGGCAAAATTACTCTTCTACTGGCACCATATTTCCGTTCGATCACTAGTAATAATAGCACCAAGCCATATTTACAAAGTGCTTGTTGATACAAATGCTTCGCTGAACACTCAAAACGCATTGCACGTTTAGCCCTTAACCCCTCTAGGAGACAGCAGCGACCATGTGTCCTGGCAAAGGCAAAGAACAGTCTGCAGGGCACAAACACCTCGCCCTGGGGCTGGGTAGGGAGGGCTGAGAAGGCGGGGAAGTCAAGTCCGGCCTCTGCCCTTCATGTGGCAAAGCTGAGGTTGGTACCTGGCCTTGGGCCTGCGTCAGGGGCCGGGAGTACTGACTCTTCAGTTTGTGAGTACAGGTATGGGTTTTATTTCTCATCAGATCTACATTAAAAATTATTTTTTTCTGAAAGAAGGGAATGGAATTAATGTCAGAAAATGAAAAAAATAGAAACAAAGTCTTTGTAAATAGGGAGGGGTGGAAGGGTTGAAGGGAAGGCAGGGAAATTGGGAAAAAAAGAACCAAGATAGATTGCCTAAAGGTGCAAACTCCCAATGATGAATGTCATTATACTGTACACCTAAAATGTACCGATAAAATTAATTTAAAATATTATTTTCTAGAAAAGAAATTAATTTTTTTCAATTAAAAATCCTCTTGACCTCCTGCGTGGGTGTAGGGGTGTGTGTGTGTGTGTGTGTGTGTGTGTGTGTGTGTGTGTGTGTGTGGTGACTTTTATTCACACCTCCTCCCAAACAGAGCAGAGAAAAAAATACTTTCCCAGGCGGGTCCTCTGATTTCTGAGTGGGGTCACTTGCACGGTCCCCTCGGGGCTACTACCAGCACAGGTTTGTTCCGGAGCCTTTGGGAGCAGGACAGTAACCCAGTGTGGCACTTCCCTGGGCATCAGACATGCTTCCTGTATTCGGACCAGAGCTCAGGCTGCATTCTGTGGCAGCATGCAGAGCGAGGTCACGCTCTGTCACACACTGGCCCCGTGGTGCCCGGCACCCTCACGCCCCTCCGCGGGCAGCTTCTTCTAATACCTGGGACCCTGTCTTTGAAAATTACTCAGACAGGGATGCAACACTGAGGTAGCTGGCAGGGAACACATCCGGACCACCCTGTAAAACACTCCCAGCATTATGAAGTTTAAAATAGTAAGTCTTAGCAAATATACTTCAACATATCCAAAAGTTGCCTATGCCATGCAACATTTCCACAACAAAAAAAGAAAAAGCAAATAGAGAAACACAACACCGCTGGCTGACGGGGACAGGGGTATTCATTCTATACTTTTCTGCTTCTCCAGACAACATATTTTATGGTAGAAATTTTGAAGGCATATATTGAGTTTAGAAAAGAGGCAGCAGTAGTCTCTCTATCCAGGGAAGGACAAATTAATTTTTTTCCTGAACCTAGTTTTTCTGGGCAGGAAGGGGTCCTCTGGGATCACAGTTAGCATGGGGCTTTGGGAATGAAAGATCAGGGGTTGCCTGTCGTCCTATGCAGTGTGGACAGAAACCAAGGGACATTTGATTAAAAGTCAGCTTTCAGTGACACGGATTGTAATCCTTCATGGATCTTGGGACACCTCCAGGATTTACTCAAGGGGCATTTTCAACTGGTTGAGCAGAAGCTCAGGCTCGACCCCATTCACTCCTCAGAGCTGAGCCCAAGCCGGGGTCCAGCCGTGGGTCACGCAGGGAGAGGACTGTAAATCAGAGCAGGGATGCAATCCCAGGCCTTCGGACCTGATGCAGCGTTACTAAAAGGGCAACAGCAGCCGCGCACTTGACAGGCAGCACCACAATGGACGGCCTGGCACAGACGGGCCGGGGCACTTGGTCAGCGAGGGTAGCAACCAGTGTTTACAAACACGGCCAGGAACTCTATGGGGGCTGCAATGAAGTCCCCAAAATAAACACACAAGATCTTGCATGTGTCTCCAGGCCACACCATCTGCCCTGCCAAAGCCACTCAGCCCAAAATGGCACCACTGCCACCCTTGCTGAAATACAATCTCAGATCACCAAGGGACGGGATCCTAAAATAAAGCTCCTGGTCTGCTGGGCCCACTCAAGCACCGGGAGAAGTTGCTGACTGGCCCTTGAGAGAGCCCCCCGACCGACCCTGGCCTCAGTGGTGCCCTGGAGTAACCATGGGCTCACCAGGAAGAAAGAGCAGAGAGGAGGCGCTCTATTAAGCCCCCAGCTCACCTTCTCTTGGCTACTCCCCCAGCAGATGCCACATGAGCAAAGACACCAACCAAGAGAATGCAGACCCTTTTGCTCCTGAACTATGCATTTTCCACCAGATTCCCAGATATTTGAAGAAAAGGCCCCCAAACTACAAATAAGCCAACCTCTACTACCAGAGCACCTTCCAAAGTGACCGCCGCCGAGGCTCAGCAGCCCGAAAATGCCCAGCCCTCCTATGGCTGTGCGCGGTGAGGTCAGCGCGGGTCCGGTCCACCCCG